CAGGAATCCATGCCTTGGACAGGGAGCGTGGGAGCAGCACAGGTACAAAAAGCTAGTGCTGCCCAGACCCTGCACACCCTGACCCACTGTGCCGAAACCCTGCACCCCCAGCTTGTTCCTGCACCTGCCTCCTCCCCCCGGCCAGATCCCTGTACCCAGCTTGCTCCTGCACCCTACCTCCCACCCAGATTCTGCACCGCCATCCCTATCTCACTCACTGTCAGCTCTGTCCTGCACACTGGATCCCTTGAGTAAGATGTCTCAGCTGGGGGCCACATTAGTGAGAGTTGAAGGTTTCTGGAGGGATTGTTTTTTTGCTTCTCACTTGTGTGGTCCCCAACTGATTTTTCTGTGGGACAGTGGACCCAACCCAAAAATGATTCCCTACCCCTGACATAAAGACAGACAATGTTGAAGCCTTGTGTTGGACATAATATTTTACTTCATTTAAAAATGAAGCCTGGCCAACAAGACCCCAATTGGGGCCCAGCCCCCATCTGGCCGCAGCATCATAGCACTCCTGCACCCCCTAAACACCCCAACCCTGAGCCCCTCATAGTCCCACATCCCCAGTCCTCTGCACCCCCACATCCTCATTCCTCGGATAGAATACTCCTGCACCCCCCACACTCTAACCTTGTGCCCATAGTCCATCATACACCCAACACCCCTGCCCTGAACCCCTCATACATCCCAACCCAAACTCCTGCACCCCCATATCCCCAACCTCCACCATTAGATTGTCAGAAGACAGCCTGAATGCATGCATGAAGCTGGATTTGACTAGTTATGTAAATTTCAAAGAAATGTGTGAAAAGATGCAGCAGCAGTCCCATTAAATAAAGTCTGAGTACAAGGTTTCATTTCTGCTATTATTAATCATGTCAGTTATCAATAATATTAAGTTGTATATTTTCAGTCATGCAAATGGGCATTCTTATATGGCTTTTTGTTGACCACCTGTTCTGAATTTTGATGTTGTTTGGCTCTTTGGTTTGATAAGGCTGCCAACCCCTAATTTAGAGCTTCATGGAAGCTAGTTGAAAACCATTGCACATGACAGAGCATAAGCATTATGCTCCATGTAGGATGCTACATATTGAGCAAGCAGCCACACTCTGCATTAGAGGAAGTTTCTAAATGGTCTTTAGACACAAACATTCTGGAGGGGACAAAGCTTGGATCACTGACATCTGTAATGTGCGTCTTTCTGTTTTTCTAGTTAAGACTGTTCCCATTCAAACCTATTCTCAAAAGGCTTAACGCTGACTTGTTTACTGTATTTTTTCTATTAATCAATTATCACTACTCGATTTAGAACTGAACTTCATTTAGTATAGGGCCTTCTATTGTCCATGTGTACTAAAGCACTTTACTGGAAGGCAGTTAAATACTTGCAGTGCATCATCAAAGGAAAAGGCAAATATACACTGCACGGAGAAAGGGAATGTAAGCAAGGATCAGAATCTGTTCTGGGCACTGTATTGAACCCTCAATTTGTAAAAGTGAAAACACTATATAAATATTTATAGATTAAGCCTTCCAATAAATGTACAATAAGTGTAAGCTTCTTTATCTTATGGACAGGAACAGCAAGACAGAGAGGTGGTATGAATTACTCAGTGTCACACAGAAAGTGAATTCAGGTTTTCTGAGTCCAAACTCTGTGCTTCAGTTTTTTTTTCAAAAGGATTTGCAAGATTTTTAACATTCACCTGGCCACTTACCAAAAGGGACTTTTGATTAAGGTTTTATCTAAAGGACATCTTCTATCAGAATACAGTACTACATTGTATTAGTTCACCGTACGGTTAGCATTTGTATGATCCCAAGCCTTGGCATAGGATTATAATCCACAATGTTCTGGCTTTAGGAACAGGACTGTTACCAACTGATCTGCACTGACAGGGCTAGGACAATAATATTTATTCAGATTTCAACAGACATACTGAAAGAATGACCTATCCTGGACTCTAATCACACTTACCATCCACAAATATACACATTACAAAACAATCAGAGAACCTGAGCAGCAGCAGACCACCCCTCTCCTGCCAGGCACATGCAACCACCAGGCAGCAAATCATTACAAAACAATTAATGTCGCCTTCCTTCTTCAAAGTACAAAGCACTTCCAAAAATTACCTGCTCATAAAGGACTTTGGGGCTTTTCTCAATGCAATGAGCATGTATGAAGAATTAATTCCTAAATTGGAGAAAGCAGTTTCAGAAACTTCCTCTCTACTATATCAAGGGAGCACCAGCTCAAGTACTTTATTCATACTGCTATAGTGCATATGGTACAAGACATCTGTGCAAAGTATATGTGCTGTTACAAAAACCACATATCCATACCTCTGGCTCTATGTGCCTGGGAAAGAGGGATGTTGTGAGATATTTGTATAAAATTCTCATGTCATCTTGTTCTAATCCACTCCTGGAATATCAGAGAAAAAAAAAGTTAAAAGGTAGACTGCAAAGCAGGAAAAACAATTTCTCTAAGCGTGTTACTTCATGGCCAACATCTTTATAACTAAGAGCTGGACAAGCCGCAATTTAGAGCCTTCTGGGAGAACTAAACTCAGTTCTTTTATATGACAAGGCACCAATTTCTTTTGTACAGACAGTCCCCAGTATAAGTTTAATTTTTAATAGGATGCTCATTCCCCTACAATATTACTAATATATCCACGTTAACAAATAGATAAAATCATGAATTAAAGAGTCTTGTCCTAATTTATGAGTCCATATTTGATTTCACAAGCAAATTATGTGTAGCGAATACTTGAATCTAGACAAATATAGGGAGACTAGGATTTTTTTAAAATAATAATTATAACTTCTTTCTCACCTAAATATTGTGAACATTCTCTCCTTACGTCTTACTAGCCTTTGAACATGAAAACCTTGCATAGCTACTCCGATGTGAAACAGTATGCCAAAAGCAGCTGTGCCATGTCAGTACACACCAGAAATACAAACACAGCTGAAGAGGAATAGCTAGTTTTCAATTACATTGATGCAGCAAACTCCTTAAACTGCATTTTTAACAGAAACAAAGAAATCTGTTGTAATATTTTCTGCACATAAAGTCAGGATGAATCAAAAGTAGTTTTGGTTAACTGAAAATGCAGCGCTTTTCAGTATTACTTTTTGGTTGTACATAATTTGCTTGTAAAATCAAATATGGATTCATAGACTGACTTTAAAAAGTTTCTAATTGTTGTTAATAATGTGAATAGATTATCAAGAACCCAGATGATTAATATGATTCGGTAAAAATGAATTGAGACGTTATGGTGATTATGGTAGTGTCTTGTTCAGAGTAGGTCCTTTTCTCCATTATATGTTTAATTTTGGACATGAAACTTAAAAGTTTCAAATCTTCAGCAATAATTAACTTAGTACATATGTTTACACTATTCCAAAGAAACCATCCATTAGAAACTGATAGGTAGCTCTGGTTTTTGTAATGAACACACATCAAATTAAGAGTGTGGGGGCACATTTTGTTCTTATTTACAAATCCACGGAAGTCAGCAGGGTTCTACAAATTCTGAGGCAGCTCTAGGGTGACCAGTTGTCTGGTTTTTGACTGATTCACCTAGTAAAAAATGGACCCTAGCAGCTGCAGGCAGCACCACCCACTAGGGCATTAAAAGTTCAGGCAGCATCGGTGCAGAGCCAAGACAGGTTATTCCCTACCTGTCCTGGGACACCGCGCTATACTTCGGAAATGGCCAGCAGGTCCAGCTTCTCAGCAGGGGACCACCAGGTTCTGTGGGCTGCCCTTGCTGCCCTGAGTACTGGCTCTGGACTCCCACTGGCCAGTTCCCAATGCTCTGCCCCCAGCCACACTGAGCACCGGCTCCACAATCCAATTGGCTGGCTCCCAGCCAGTGGAAGCTGGGGGTGAGGGCAATGTCTGCAAGCAAGAGCCTCCTGCCCATGCCCCTGTCTAGGAGCTGGACCAGTTGGCCACTTCCAGAGTGCGGTGCAGTGCTGTGTCTCAGGACAGGCAGGCAGTCTGCCTTATGCACCTCCCGCTAACCAGGAGCCACCCAAGACTAACTTGAGCCCCCCTCCACCTCAACCCAGAGCCCTCTCCTGCACTCTAAACCTCTCATCCCAGGACTTAACCCACAATCCACACCACCAATCCAGAATCTGTACCCCCTCTACACCCCAGCTCCATCTCAACCCACAGCCCCCTCTTCCATTCTGAATTCCTCAGCCCCACGCCCTAGCCTGGAGTCCTCCCCTGCACTCCAAACCCCTCATTCCCAGTCATACTCCAGAGTCCACACCCCCAGATGGAGCCCTCACCACCTTGCACACCCCAACTACGTGATGGAGGCCAGAGCTCCCTCCTGCACCTGGAGCCCAAACCCCCACTTAGAGCGCTCACTCATTCCCAAGCCCCAAAACCCTACTCCAGCCCAGTGAAAGTGACAGTGAGGGGGAATGTAGTGAGTGGGGGCGGGGCTAGTTTGTTTAGGGTTGCCAACTTTCTTTTGGCCCAAAAACAGTCAGCTCAGAATATAGCCCTACTCAGTTTAACACCATATGTGTGTGTGTGTGTCAAATACTAATATCAAATTATCACATTTATGAGGTTTACACATTACTTCTCAAAGCTTTCTTTCCCATCATTTAAAACTGCTATTATTCAGTTTACCCTCAGCCATGTTATATGTTAAAGGTTTCTGCATTAGTGAACTATGCAGCATCTATTTCAACTGCAAACAACATCCTCACTGCAGACTCTGACTTTAAGATAACAGAGCAAAAATTCTCGGATGTCTACTACCATCATCTCTCATTGATTTCAGCCACTCAAATGGACCAGGCTCCAGGATTTAGTTTATCATTACCAAATGAGATCCTTATTGCCTAGATGAAATACCGGTAACTATACAGTACTGCTAAAGGGAGAAGACATTATTTACACATTGTGTGTGGATGCAGACTGTAACCGATCATTCCAATTTATGAGAAATCTTTCCTGGAAAAGGAGGCTAAGATATTTAGAAAAAAAGGAAAACCATTTAAAATATTAATTTATCATCTCTTAATTTATCACATGTAAGCTCTAGCATCCTTAAGGCAGCCTTAAGCTTCTCTTTACTGCTGACACAAACTGTGCACTGTGACATTCTTGACAAGTGAAAAAATGCAAATATCTAACCTTCACTGATTTTTCCCAAGCCAGAGATGATAAAAAAGAAAATACTGTATGCCTCAAGAGATACACATTGAGCTTGAAATGTTAAAACTGCTTATATCTCAATAATACTGTAGAAAATATTGCTTTACAAGTAAACTCCTATTTATTCTCTCCAAATATTTTCACACTGTTTGAGTTATTGCCAAAGTTTAAGTCTTCAGATCACTTAATAAATAAAAGACTTTTCCAGGCGTGGCCAGCTCTTCCAATTTCAATATGTTGATTTCTCAAAATGGAAACTATTCACAACTACAGGGAAAGGCTCTGTATCCAACTGTTTCATATTCGTAGAGTTTAAGACCAAAAGGGATCATTGTGATCAGCAGGTTAGACCTTCTGAACAACACAGGCCACAGATGATAATTCCTAGAGTAGATCTTTTAGAAAAAACATCCAATCTTGATTTAAACATTGTCAGTGATGGAGAATTCAGCATGATCCTTTGTAAATGGGTCCAATGATTAAATTACTCTATTAAAAATATAGGCCTTATTTCAAATCTGAATTTATCTAGCTTCAACTTTCAGATACTAGATTGTGTTATGCCTTCCTCAGCTAGAATTAAGGGGCCTATTATTAAATCTTTGCTCCTCATGCAGATACTAATAGACCAATGAAGTCACCTCTTACCTTTCCTTGGATAAGCTAACTAGGCTGAGTTCCTGAAGTCTTATCAGTATATGTTTTCTAATTCTTTAGTCATTTTCATAGTTCTTCTGTGAACACTCTCCAATTTATCAATATCCTTCCTGAATTTTGTGTCTCAGACCTGGATACAATAGTCCAGCAGCAGATGCACTAGTGCCATGTACAGAGGTAACAACCTCTCTACTCCTATTCAAGATTTGTATGCATTCCACGCTTCCATTAGCTCTTTTGACCATAGCATCACGCTGGGAGTTCATGTAAAGCTGGTTACCCACCATAATCTTTTCTAGAGTCACTGCTTCCTGGGATAGAAGCCTCCATCCTATAAGTATGGCTTACAATCTTTATTACCAGACACAGCTATTTTAACAGTTAATGTAAATGTATATTGTTTGCTTGCACACATTTGACCAAGCAATCTAGATCGCTCTGAATCAATTATCTGTCCTCTTCATTATTTATCATTTCCCCCAATTTGTGTCATCACTATATAAGAATGACCAGTACAAAAGAATCTCTAATATATGCACATTTCCCATGTATATCCTAAAAATTGTGGAAGCTTTCCTGCTAAGATTCTTCAAGCATTTCTGGAAATATTTGGTAATTCTCACTGTCGCTCTATAATTCTACACAACTAAGGAAGTTGCTTAGGAGAAATTCCACAAATCCTGAAATTGAGTACAAATTGTTCCAAAACCATTATTTTTCACTTTTAGTCACATTCATATGTAAGTAAAACTATCAATAAATGGCAACAACACATAGATGGTTATTATATATGGCCCATTCATCTCAAGAGATGGTGGTAAGCAGCATCAGAGACAATCTATGAGTTGTGCCTGGATCTGCAACTTCTTTCATGGCTTGTGTGTCCAATATTGGATTTGCACAGTCGATTACAATAGCTACATGCCAATCTACTTCCTTTTTCATCAGTCTGAGACTTTTTCCTTCTGAGACGGAGTTCTTTTGCACGTCTTGCACAGGTCCTATTGAAAAATGACGTGCCCTGTTGTAATAATTGTCGCCAGGTGTTGCGATCTGATGTAGATTCCCAAGCGCTTGGATTGATGTTAAACCTTTTCATAGTGTTTTTATATGTATCCTTGAATCTTTACTTTGGCCTTCCTCTTGCCCTTACTCCACTTGTTAGTTCACCAAAGAAGAGTTCTTTGGGAAGGCGTTTATCACTTATTCTCCTCGCATGGCCAAGCCTCCGGAGTCTTCTGTTGTTAAGGATTGCTATGAAACTAGGTATGCCAGCTCTTGATAGGACATCTTCATTTGAAACTTTGTCTTGCCACTTAATATTCATGATTCTGCGAAGGCAGCGAAGGTGGAAACTGCTCAATTTTTTCTCTTGGCACGAGTAGGTAGTCCAGGTCTCAGATCCATAAAGCAAGACACTTAATATGCACGCTTGGTATATCAATATCTTTGTTTTCATTGTCAGTTTGGGATTGTTCCATGCTCGTTTCGTAAGTCTGCCAAATGTTGTGGCTGCCTTCCCAATTCTGATGTTGAGTTCTTAATCCATGGAGAGATTTTTGGTGACGTAG